GGGAATGGTCCTGTGGTGAGGTCCTGGCTCTGTTGGAGAGCTGGGAAGCAGGAATGTGTATGAAACCAGAATTTGGGAATGGTCCTGTGGTGAGGGTTGGGACAGAGTCCAAAAAGTGTCGGATTTTTGGGAATATTGTTGGATGTGGAGTTGGTAAAACCCCAGCAAGGCAGAATCTCCCAGATCGGGAATATTTGCACTGAAGGGAGTTGAGTGGAGGGGATTTTTTCCAAAGGCAACGCAGCTTCCCACACAACTCTCCCTCCTCCAGAGCAGAGACATTCCTTGGAAAAACAGCATTCCATGCCCTGAGGAGCGTGGCAGGGGCGTGCCCATGGGGTTCCTGTGTCCCTGTGGCACCCAGGGGTGACACTTTGGGGGTGTCACCACCCCAAACCTCCCTCTGAGGGGTGATCCTGGTGCCATTCCTGAGCTGCATCCACAATCCTGGGCTGGGAAGAGCTGGGAATCCTGATCCCAACACCCTGAGTGACAAAGCCACAGGTCACTCATGGAATCTGTCCCAGCACTGGGATCAGGGAATGATCCTGTTGTCCCTTTCCACTGGGATAACACCAGCAGGCTCCAGCATTTTTAGGGTCAGGAGGGCACTGGGAAACCTCAGGATTTGGGGTTTTCTCAGCATGTTCATGACTCAGCTTTTAATTAAGGGTGATTAACCCTAATAATTAACATCATTGTTAATCACAGCATTGACAAAGCCACAGGTCACTCGTGGAATCTGTCCCAGCACTGGGATCAGGGAATGATCCATTGTCCCTTTCCACTGGGATAACACCAGCAGGCTCCAATGATTTTAGGGACAGGAGGGCACCGGGAAACCTCAGGATTTGGGGTTTTCTCAGCATGTTCATGACCCAGCTTTTAATTAAGGGTGATTAACCATAACAATTAACACCATCGTTAATCACCACATTCCTAGTGGGATTCTCTGAGTGACAAAGCCACGTGTCACTCACGGAATCTGTCCCAGCACTGGGATCAGGGAATGATCCCATTGTCCCTTTCCACTGGGATAACACCAGCAGGCTCCAATGATTTTAGGGACAGGAGGGCACCGGGAAACCTCAGGATTTGGAGTTTGTTGGGCACGCTCATAATCCAAGTTTTAATGAAGGGTGATTAACCCTAACAATTAACGTCATTGTTAATCACCACATTCCTAGTGGGATTCTCTGAGTGACAAAGCCACGTGTCACTCGTGGAATCTGTCCCAGCACTGGGATCAGGGAATGATCCCGTTGTCCCTTTCCATCCAGGAGAAATGTGCTGCGATAACACCAGTGGGATCCAATATTTTTAGGGACTGGCGGTCTCTGGGAAACCTCAGGATTTGGAGTTTTCTCAGCATGTTCATGACTCAGCTTTTAATTAAGGGTGATTAACCCTAACAATTAACATCATCGTTAATCACGGCATTGACAAAGCCACAGGTCACTCGTGGAATCTGTCCCAGCACTGGGATCAGGGAATGATCCCGTTGTCCCTTTCCATCTGGGAGAAATGCACTGGGATAACACCAGTGGGATCCAATGTTTTAGGGACAGGAGGGCACTGGGAAACCTCAGGATTTGGAGTTTGCTGGGCACGCTCATAATCCAAGTTTTAATGAAGGGATAACTGGGAGAAATGCACTGGGATAACACCAATGGGCTCCAATGTTTTAGGGACAGGAGGGCACTGGGACACATCAGGATTTGGGGTTTCCTGGGCACGTTCATGATCAGGCTTTTAATGAAGGGTGATTAACCCTAACAATTAACGTCATTGTAATCACCACATTCCTAGTGGCATCCTCTGAGTGACAAAGCCACGTGTCACTCGTGGAATCTGTCCCAGCACTGGGATCAGGGAACGATCCCGTTGTCCCTTTCCACTGGGATAACACCAGTGGGCTCCAACGATTTTAGAGACAAGAGGGCACTGGGAAACCTCAGGATTTGGGGTTTTCTCAGCATGTTCATGACTCAGCTTTTAATGAAGGGTGATTAACCCTAACAATTAACATTTTTGTTAATCACTGCATTCCCAGTGGGATCCTCTGAGTGACAAAGCCACGTGTCCCTCATGGAATCTGTCCCAGCACTGGGATCAGGGAATGATCCCGATGTCCCTTTCCATCTGGGATAACACCAGCAGGCTCCAGCATTTTTAGGGTCAGGAGGGCACTGGGAAACCTCAGGATTTGGGATTTTCTGGGCATGTTCATGACTCAGCTTTTAATGAAGGGAAAGTAACCCTAACAATTAACATCATTGTTAATCACTGCATTGACAAAGCCACGTGTCACTCATGGAATCTGTCCCAGCACTGGGATCAGGGAATGATCCTGTTGTCCCTTTCCATCCGGGGAAATTGTGCTGGGATAACACCAATGGTCTCCAATGTTTTAGGGCCAGGAGGGCACTGGGAAACCTCAGGATTTGGGGTTTTCTCAGCATGTTCATGATCAGGCTTTTAACAATTAACGTCATTGTTAATCACCACATTCCCAGTGGGATCCTCTGAGTGACAAAGCCACGTGTCACTCGTGGAATCTGTCCCAGCACTGGGATCAGGGAATGATCCTTTGTCCCTTTCCACTGGGATAACACCAGCAGGCTCCAACGATTTTAGGGACAGGAGGGCACTGGGAAACCTCAGGATTTGGGGTTTTCTGGGCACATTTATGACCCAGCTTTCAATGAAGGGAAAGTAACCCTAACAATTAACGTCATTGTTAATCACCACATTCCTAGTGGGATCCTCTGAGTGACAAAGCCACGCGTCACTCGTGGAATCTGTCCCAGCACTGGGATCAGGGAATGATCCTTTGTCCCTTTCCATCTGGGATAACACCAGCGGGCTCCAATGATTTTAGGGACAGGAGGGCACTGGGAAACCTCAGGATTTGGAGTTTGCTGGGCACGCTCATAATCCAAGTTTCAATGAAGGGTGATTAACCCTAACAATTAACATCATCGTTAATCACTGCATTGACAAAGCCATGTGTCACTCGTGGAATCTGTCCCAGCTCTGGGATCAGGGAATGATCCTGTTGTCCCTTTTCACTGGGATAACACCAGCGGGCTCCAACGATTTTAGGAACAGGAGGGCACTGGGAAACCTCAGGATTTGGGGTTTTCTGGGCAGGTTCATGACCCAGCTTTCAATGAAGGGTGATTAACCCTAATTTTTGTTAATCACTGCATTCCCAGTGGCATCCTCGGAGTGACAAAGCCACGCGTCACTCGTGGAATCTGTCCCAGCACTGGGATCAGGGAATGATCCTTTGTCCCTTTCCACTGGGATAACACCAGCGGGCTCCAACATTTTTAGGGACAGGAGGGCACTGGGAAACCGCAGGATTTGGGATTTTCTGGGCATGTTCATGACCCAGCTTTTAATGAAGGGTGATTAACCCTAACAATTAACATCATCGTTAATCACTGCATTGACAAAGCCACGTGTCACTCGTGGAATCTGTCCCAGCACTGGGATCAGGGAATGATCCCTTGTCCCTTTCCATCTGGGATAACACCAGCGGGCTCCAGCATTTTTAGGGCCAGGAGGGCACTGGGAAACCGCAGGATTTGGGGTTTTCTGGGCACGTTCATGATCAGGCTTTTAATGAAGGGTGATTAACCCTAACAATTAACGTCATTGTTAATCACCACATTCCTAGTGGGATTCTCTGAGTGACAAAGCCACGTGTCACTCATGGAATCTGTCCCAGCACTGGGATCAGGGAATGATCCCGATGTCCCTTTCCATCTGGGATAACACCAGCGGGCTCCAACATTTTTAGGGACAGGAGGGCACTGGGAAACCTCAGGATTTGGGGTTTTCTGGGCACATTCATGATCAGGCTTTTAATTAAGGGTGATTAATCCTAACAATTAATGCCATTGTTAATCATCGCATTCCCAGTGGGATCCATGAGCTCCCGGTGGATCCCTTTCCCTGTCTCTCCTTTCTCCAGGGCGAATCCATGACAATTTTTGGACCTCAAGGCTACAAAGGCACCAAAGGAGATCCCGTAAGTTTGGCTTTCCAAGCTGTCCCTTCCCAGGGAAGCAGCACTTGGATCCAGCTGGATCCTTCCAGGAGAGGTGGAATGATTCAAATCCACCAATTCCTGGTTTTCCTTTCAGGGTGAGCAGGGACTGCCAGGTTTTGATGGAGACAAAGGCGAGAAGGGAGAGGACGGACCCGTAGGAGAAAAGGTGGGAACTTCCCAAAGTTCCTGTGAGGAAGGGACTGGGGGTGGTGGAAGGAATTCCCAGAAAAATTATGGATACCCTTGGATTTCTGGAACAGAATTCCCAGAAGAATTGTGGCTACCCCATCCTTGGAAGTGTCCTAGGCCAGGCTGGATGAGACTTGGAGCAGCCTGGGATCATGGAGGGTGTCCCGTGGAGGGCTGGGATAGGAACTGGGTGATCTTTAAAGTCCCTTCCATCCCAAACCATCCCGGAATTCTCAGGCCACACCCAGCTCTGGCACCGACAGGGACGGGAAGGGGCTGGGAAGGGGCTTGGGGACCCCAGACAGGTCCCATTCCTCAGGTGTCCCACTGGGAAAAGCCACCATCCCATTCCCACACCCCTGTCACTGTAGGACACGAAAGGACACAAGCACACACCGCTGCTCTCAAGGTGAAGGAAAAAAGGGAAATTTAATTTCCGACTCCAACATTTATAGATTTCCAAAAGTGACAGAGGATTGGAGGGTGACAGTGACACTGGGCAAACCAACAGCCCATCAGATTTCTCCTCCTCCATAAAAGAATGCAAAACAATGAGTTATTTACAGAAAGTGTGAGTTTGCTACAAGAATGTCAACATCAGAAAGCTTCCCAGACAGATCCCATTCCTCAGGTGTCCCACTGGGAAAAGCAACCATTCCATTCCCACACCTCCTGTCACTACAGGACACAAGAGGACACAAGCACACACCGCTGCTCGCAAGGTGGAAAAAGGGAAATTTAATTTCCAACTCCAACATTTATAGATTTCTAAAAGTGACAGAGGATTGGAGGGTGACAGTGACACTGGACAAACCAACAGCCCATCAGATTTCTCCTCCTCCATAAAAGAGTGCAAAACAGTGAGTTATTTACAGAAAGTGTGTGAGAGAGTTTGCTACAAGAATGTCAACATCAGAAGGCTTCCCAGACAGATCCCATTCCTCAGGTGTCCCACTGGGAAAAGCGACCATCCCATTCCCACACCCCTGTCCCTGTAGGACACGAAAGGACACAAGCACACACCGCTGCTCGCAAGGTGAAGGAAAAAAGGGAAATTTAATTTCTGACTCCAACATTTATAGTTTTCCAAAAGTGACAGTGGGCTGGAGGGTGACAGTGACACTGGGCAAACCAAGAGCCCATCAGATTTCTCCTCCTCCATAAAAGAATGCAAAACAGTGAGTTATTTACAGAAAGCGTGTGAGAGAGTTCGTTACAAGAATATCAACATCAGAAAGCTTAGAAAAACTTTAAAAATCAGGGCGACTTTCCCCCTCTCCCTCCAGGAGCCGTCCCTGCTCCTGGAGCCTCTGGAATGCTCTTGG